CATGGTTTTAAGGGGTATTAATACACTAAAAGCTTCAGCTTGTCAACACTGACTACCTTTTTTGTCCCCACATAGAAAAGAAACCAATGAGAATTTTGAGAATAGGGATATAGCTGATTATTCAGAACAAACTATTTCATTGCATCTTTCTGAGCTTTTGAGCAGCTTTAGAAATTAAACATTCCTAGAATCAGAGAGAAGGTGCAAAAATCAACTCAACATTATCATGTAGGAAATGTCTAGAGCCAAAAACTGCCACCCAAGCATTCAGTTTTCAAAGATGAACTGATATTTGCAGAAAATTAATCCAAGTGCATTATACCCATCTAATTTTAAATCTAATTACTGCTCRTGTAAGACTGTCCTCCAATAATAAGACAGCAAAAATAAAACATCCAGGATAGAGGGATATGATTAGGAAAGCTTTGTGGTCAAATCATATGTTATTGAAAGCAGAATTTTCTTTTTCTGTGTGAACTTTCTTATGCTGGAAATTATGTGTTTATGCTATTAGTATAGATTTAGCATATTTCATTAAGCTTGAGAAGATTTCAGGAGCAGTTTTAGCAAATTAATAAAGTGTCTAAAGAAAATCCCCTTTTTAATCCACCATGTCCCAGCTTGCAATATCTGTTTATTCTGTATTTGAAGTTACCACTGTACAGGAACCAGTAAGGCAGATTCCATGTTACATGATGTGTCAGTGAACTAATGCAGTGCTGTGAAGGCAAAAATCATTACTGTTATAAGAACATTGAGAAAAATYTTTTATACTGTTAATGCCAACTCAAATTTTCAAATGGGAAGGTAGAAACAATATTCTACTTAACTGGCAAATTTGGGGAGAAAACTGGTATGATGCAAACATAACCACTTAATAAATTATTAATAGTCACCTTCTTTACTGAATGAGGCATCATGGCAGGTAGGTGGATTCTTCACCCAAATATTTAATGGTTGTMATTMTGATAAAAAGATGCATATTCTTCAYTTATGCWATACAATGAAAGCAGTAAGGCATGAACTTCTGTTATTTAGGGGGTTTTCTTGAAAAAAGGTATAATAAGGTAGATGAGACTAAAAGTCAGGGCACTCAATTACAATACCAGGGCCATCTGATCTTACGTCAACTGCCCACTCTCTCACTGGCTTCCAAGGACMTTTGTTCCCAGAATGCCTCTTCTCATTTCTAAAGTTGCTGCAATACAAAAAGCTAACATGCTTCACTTCACATAAAGAAGATACATAATCTACCAACCTCATGAACTCGTGAACCATAGACACATAATCTACCAACCTCGTGAACTTTGTTACCCTGCAACTCCTACACAAATCATAGGAGCAATAATATACCAGCATCTTACCTATCAGGCATTCCTTCAACAGAAACGCCCAGAGTATTTAGTATTCTATTTCAAAAAGCCGCCATTGTCCCCAGTAATTTTCTTTATATATGAAAAACCCACAAAATTCTCTTWACCATTTTAATCTTCTAGAGAGCCAGGCCTTGATATGCACCTATACAAGGTTTTCTGAATGCAAATTAGTTTCAGATGCCAGGGTAACAATCTCCAAAACACACTGAAGCACGTGTATGGAATGTATTATAACTCCATTTGTAGTCAATGATGTGAAAACTTTACAAAGCTGTTGAATAATTATGATTACTAATATGCCAATTAGGTTGAACAGGTACACAGACATCCTCAGCTAGRCACTTACTGAATTTTTAAAAATAATTTATTTCTGAATTTCTTCTCTGAGTGGTCTTAAAATCAACAAGTAAGATTACTGTAATTAAAAAGACACAGCTTCAAGTTTGTTTGGGATTTTTTTAAGTTTGCTAATTGGGGTGTTTGAGWCAATCTTGCCAGTCTGAGACAAAAGATTGCATCCAACAACACAAGAAAATGGAAATAAAGTTTCAAAGCTGCCAAAGATCAAAATGAGAATTATACCTAAAGTCAATTCTGCTTACTTTATGAAAAGTATTATGGTTTARTATCTTAATCAAATCAAATTCTGGACAGAATTGTTCTATTTTTCTGTATCCCTAAAAGAAGTAGAGACAGAAATCAGGACTTCTTCACAGTAAGCAGTGGACAACACAAAGCAAGATCATCTTGACTACAAAAGTTTAAAATATAAATAAAGCAATCATGGGGAAAGGAAGCAGTCTCATTTTGTGAAGTAGGAATGGAACCACTTTGAAGTGATTGAAAAGAAAGTCGTTATTAGAAGTGGAACAAGCACAGTGGGCTGCAAATGGATGCCAAAATAATTAACATCACCTGCAAATCAGGACTCCCTTGGATAATGAGGACAGGTCATTTGCTCATACTCAGATGTGTTTCACTTGTACATATATTTACACATTTATGCATACAAGCATACCAGAGTATCCACAGCAGTACATTCTGCATCCTTTTGCTCCCTTACATCCCATCCAGGTGGAAACATAGGAGAAAATGCATAACCATTCCTCCCATCTTCTCATGTCAAGAACTCAAGAAAAGCCCACACCAGAAGGCTGAACAGTCACAGACAGCAGGACTACCACAGGAACAGAACACAAAGACAATTCTAAACTTACACCAAATATTTAATTATCCAAACACAGGCCTTTTTTTTCCAGCTTTGCAACAGATTTCCAGTCGTGCTTCTAAAACTGAACAGACACTGGCTTTTGTACACTAAGGTCTTTCTCAAAGGAAGCAGCCAAGCCTGTTGAGGTAAGGCAGCTGACAGAAGATTCCCTCTATTCCAACTCTGCATTCAGAAGTACACATGCATCAYRTCAATTAAGGAAACATGCAATATCYGGCAGAAAGAGGGCAAAAGGAACATGGTCACAGTGTCTCACGGACAGGAGCCCACATGTTGGGGAGAGTAGGGAGGTAACAAGGCTTCTCATCTCTGGTTTGATTTCTTTTAATAAATCTTCCCTTTCTGGTTTTCAGAGAAAAAAAAACAGCAGCTTTAGTATAGTTCTACTTAACACTGATGACATATACCAAAGCCATTGCTGTGTGTAATTCAAGATTTTCCTCCCATTTTTTTTTTCGTATTTCAGTTGTTTGAAAATGCTGCTGAACAACCAACCTCTTACTAAAACAAATTTCCCTCACRCTCCTACAAACCTGAAGAAAGCAATAATGTACATATGATAGGACTGAACAATGCTGCCCAAGAGCTACATTTCTAGATTAAAGCAACTTTGGCCATATAACTCCATGCTACAAAAATAAAATCACAGACAGAGCCAAAGGCTACAATATACATATAGGGAAAGTAATGGTGATGACTGAAAAAAGGGAAACTTTGCACCCATTTTTTTAAAAGGCAGGAAGGAGGACCCCAGGAACTACTGACCATCAGCCTCACATCTGTGCCTAGGAAGAKCATGGAACAGCTCCTCCCAGAAGCTGTGTTAAAGCACATGGAGGACAGGGAGGMGACTTGAGACAGGCAGCACCCTGCACCAAAGGGAAATCCTGTCTGACCAACCTGATGGCCTTCTATTATGGAGCAAATACATCAGTGAACAAGCAAATGACAAATGTCATTTATCTGGACTCTTTGACACAGTCCTCCACATCCTTCTCTCTAAATTGGAGAYAGATGGATTTGATGGGTGGACTGTTAGGTGGGTAAAAAATTGGTTGGATGGTCACAGGCCACAGTTGTCAATGGCTCAAAGTCCCAGTGGGCACCAGTAACACACTGGTGTCCCTTAAAGATCTGTACTGGGACCAGTGTTATTTATTAKCTTCATTAATGACACAGAAGGGATCAAGTGCACCSTCAGCAAGTTTGCAGATGGCWCCAAGCTGACACAACAGTGTGTGCAGTTGACAMAACAGAAGGATGGGATGGCATCCAGAGGAACCYGGACAAGCTCRAGAAGTGGGCCCATGGRAATCTCATGAGGTTTAACAAGTGCAATGGGCTGTATATGGGTGGGTTGGGGCAAYCCCCAGTATCATTCATYGSAATGAACAGATCAAGAGCAGCCCTGATGAGGACAGTTTGGGGGTGCTGGTGGGTGAGAAGCTGRTCATGAGCTGGCAATGTGCACTTGGAGCCCAGAAAGCCAACCATATCCTGGGGACAGGTTGCCCAGAGCAGTAGAAGATGTCCTATCCATGGAAACAAAATCTCAGGTCAGATTAGATTGGGCACTGAACAACCTGGTCTACTTGAAGTTGTTCCTGTCCATGGCAGGGGTGGTACACAACCTGTCCTTTAAAGGTCCCTTCCAACCCAAGCTATTCTGAGATTCTATGACATGGTAACAATGGGTAAGGTGATGGTGGAACTACTGTTCAATGATTCCTACAATATAAGAACTGGAGAGTACCCARCTAAATTAGAAACAATCCAGTTTATCACAGAAAAAACAAATTTTGCTAAAAGAGTATACAGTGAACATTTAGAGCTTGCTGCAAAATGGAGCTGTAGAAACAAGGTGTCAAAAGGGTTAAAAAATGTAAACAGGTAAATAAACAAACAGGCCAATAAATGGAAAAAAAGGCCTAAGATTGTACCTCCCATCCTTGTTCATCTGGGAGCAGGTGTTGAAGAAATGGATTTGAACCAGTGAGCAGCCAGGCTGATGTCATCTCTCAAAGTAACGTTTGTGTGACTTTCAGAGCAGAATATTGGGTAAGACGCATCGTTCTGGGCAGCTGAAGGCACTACTGCTCATGTTTAAATTTACATTGTTTTCACATTGTTAGAGTTAAAARTAATGCTTATGCCTGCCACTGAACTGTGTAAAAAGGAGGGGGCTGATTATCAGATCTTAGCGTTACCTCATGGAAATGAGATATTAACAGGTCAGCTTCTGGACTGCAATGCCTCCCCCTGTTCCCTCAAAACCCCCAAAATTTAAGCATTGTTCCCTTAACTACAGCAAAGAATCCTTTAACACAGACAGAAATCAGGTRGAATCAACTGTTTACACATAGATTTTATTTCTGTATTTACAATGCTTAAAATARAATATACCAATATCTAGCTATTTCMAATAAATGCAAAAATAGAAAACTTCCATTTTCATCAAAAGTGCAGAAACATAAATTAGAAAATTATAACTTTAAAACATACAATGTTATTTCTCAAGGTTTTTACTATCAAAACAGATTTGTAAAACAAGCACCATAATTTATCTTACAGAAGACTTTTCATCAAAGCAGCATCACAGGGCAAAACAAGTAGGACATTAGTATGGAAATGTAGTAGAAAATCTTTAAATATTTTGAATGGTATGAACTGCTATAAATCCTTATAAAYGGTAACAAAATTGTTCTGACTACTTTTTTGCAATAGCTTTACCACATAGCCGAATATTAATTGGGCCATATTTGACTGTCAGCACAATGAACACATCTTCAAACATTCCTTCTGACTGTGGCTTGAACTGGACTGGCACATTGATGTAATGATGGGATCTGAAAAGGCAATTATGGGCATAATCATTAATAAACAAGCAAATACTATGAGATAGACAAATCCTTAGTTTGTATTTTCACCAAAATGGCATATTGAATGTGCACTGGATCGTCAAGTTTATTTTCATAGATTTAATTATCTATTTTTCTTCTGAAGGACATTGACCATAAAGTTCCATTTTTTCCTTCTGATTATATGAAGTAATATGATACTTTATTGCTGTTAGTTTACCTTGATAAGTTTGGTCTGCCTCTTGGCAATATTGACAATGGATAAACTACATTTCTTCCCTTCAAACATCACACAAGTACACKAAAATTTCCAACTCTTTTGAAATTCAGGCATTTGTAGCTACTGAAGYAATTTCCATTCCTTCTAATTGCCTCCACTCAATAAATATTTTGCAGAATTACTGCAAATCAGTATGTCCATCCTTAAACAAGATTTTAGAAATTTTACACCRGATTAGGTTACATAACTCCTCTTCTATTTGGATTACATAAAATCATACCAAATGTGTTGCATGGCTGTGTTAATTGTCAAAAGCCTGGACTGAATTATTTAAAAATATAAAYTGTACAAGCAATAGCTGAAAATTTTGAGTGGCAGTCTATTCCATGGCATCCAATAGAAATACCCAGCACTGAGACAGGTAGCAGTAACAGGCATATACTGAAATAAGGAATTATGAACAGCATCACTTGGTAGGAAAATATAGGTTTGTTAGCTTTTAATGTAGCTTAAATTTTCCCTATTTAACATTWTAGAATGTTAAGGATAATGTATAACATTACCCAAAGTCCTCTGGAAAGTGCTTTTTTCCCCTACTTTTTCTCACTGTGTTCCTACCTTTATACACTCATTTTCTTTACACTTATCCAACCTATCACAATCAGTCTGTGCTTTTACCCTTCTACTCTACCCCTCACCTACATTTGAAAATCACAATACTTGCTCTACATATGATTCTCATTTGCTACTATCATCCTTATTGCTGAAGTAGTCACACTAGCAATTTTTAACAACATCCTGGTCAATCAAATAAGAGTACATACACTCAGAATAAAGACTGGACTGGTACTGTATTTTTTTAACCAGGTTAACACAAAAATAAAGTACTAATTATACCACAGCAAACTGCAGTCAACAGTGCATCAAAGGAATACAACCAAATCAGTTTCAGTCTTGTCCATGGTCAAGTGTTGTACAACAAATCCAGCAGTGCTTGTTTTTTTAACCATCTATGATATACTCACTGAAGATATTTACTCAGCATATTTTTTAAAAAATCCATTTTTTTAAAGTGAAGAACCTCAGCATGACTGTTTAATCTGTAACATGCATTATGTTACAAAACAWAAATTTTAGTAGGAATAGAGTCTGAAGCTGCATATAACTAGGACACCTGAGAATTTAAGGAAGTAAAAGTAAATTCAGTAGAAAGCCAAAAGAGATACAGAAGTCTGTATCATCTCCAAAATAATATATGCATATATGCTTCCTGACATATTACATAACACTTACTAAAAAAGAACAATATGATCATACTCAAATTTACACTACATCAAAAACTTAACAGTRAGTTATGTATTGCTCTTTCAAAGTGATGGCCACATCCGGCTGTCAAATATTAACTTCCAGAATATGCACCACATCACCTCAGTGGTACTGAGGCAGAGCAGTTTCTTAGCATATGACAACTACATTAAATTCCACTTGATCTCTAAATTCAGGTATCCATTTGTTGGGTGCTAAATACACTGTTGTTCCTCCCTAAAAGCAGACTAAGTCAGACATTACTTCYGTTTTGTAGCAGTCAGTTGATCGCTCACAATTGAGATAAGATTCATCACACTTGCCTCCTAAYCCAAAGGGGAATATACTATTTTCATTTTCTCAGCTAACRAAACTGGAAAGTTTAGACTCCAKATATAACAGCTCTTTGGGCTAYTCCATRACATAAATCTTCTCAGAAATGAAGCAACCTGTAAGATTTTTCCCAAGTACAATAATCAGAAACTAGTCAAGAAGGATAGTGTCAGGACAAGTAGAATTCTGCTGCAATTAACTCTTTTTCTATTAAAAAACCCTTTTATTTCAAACTTTCCACTATAYCTGCACCTCAGTCACTGAATAGTGTATGGTCTTTAGAGGTTTTTGCAGCAGTTTCAAGTGGTATTTCTGAAAAGTAAGGCACATCAGGATTAGAAAAACTAATCCTCTTGTCCTCAAAACACAACACTGCAATAGGCAAGTTGAAAAAGAAGAATAYGGGCAATAAGTGCTATTTAAGCCATAATAAGCAGATGGTTCATCAATGAACAGTGACCACTGGCTTCTGAAAGCAACAATGTTGGGACATTTTTGTTTTAAAACTTTATTTAAGTGCGCATACCAACGTTTGTCCTTCCAGAAACAGAAATTTGYCTTTTTGTTTTTAAAATGGTTAATTCGTATGTTTGTATCACTTAAGAACCATATTGTTAAAAATATTCTCTTTGCAGTAAAAAAAAAAATTCTACTCTGTCAACAAATAGAACTCTTTTGGGTGTAAGTTGCAGATAAAATTCCACAGTAGAGCTATGTACCGGTACTTGGGATGGCATAACAAATTGAAGAACTGGCAAAGCCACKATACCAAATTGTGATGGTCAGACTCTTGATATTAGATGAAAACTTTCCCTTTCTTTAYCCAGATTTTAAACTTGATTATACAGGATTGCTTTCAAATTTGGTATCTAAATTAAGCRCATGAAATAGATCAGGTTTACTACATTACATTTCTTTGGTAAAAAACATTCAAGTAGGTAGTACTTTCTATTCTTACACTCTCTTTTACAGACTAATATTCCACATTTCAGCATAGAGTCTTTTCATCCAATTAGTTTTGAACATTACTTCCTAAGATGGCCTAGTTTAGAAAGAAATGCTTAACAGTGGCTTTGTTGATATCCTCCTTGATGCTATTGTCAAATAAAAGCCATTTAAAACATTTTTAACACTTTTTTAAAAGCATCTATCCAAGTCAAGTAAATCTTCTGTGCTTTATGCTCATAAATGGGAGAGCACTATGGCTCCTGAGAAATTACTTTTTAAAAACATAAGAAAAGCTAGTATTTACAAACAAAGGAAAAACTGCCAAAGTTACTAGGAAAAATAAAGTAGACTGACTTTTAAACTTGTTTGGTCTACTTTAGATAAATGCAGATTTCATAATTCATAACCTCTTATAGAAAATATTCATAAAAGCTTTTACAGCATTGCTCAAAAATATTTTTGAAATATCCAAGTGTCTTCCAATGACGTCACGCATTTTTTTTTGCTAAGAATGACAAAATCAAGTCACCCTGTACTGCTGTACAGCCAGACACATGTAGCTAGTTGTCTTYATTTGGATAGATTTTATCCTGGTCACTACCCCCATAAAAACCCTCCTGWGCCATCTCATGTGAAATATTTAATAAAAAGATGACAGTTAATTTGAAGCACTAACATGTGCCTAAGTGGAGTTACAGCACTTGGCACTGAAAAGTGGCCTTAAAAATACCTTGAATACTTCTGGCTAACACCACCACAGCCATGTCTTGTGATAAATGTGGAGCAAATTAGGGGGCAGAATATCTAACTCTATTTACCATTTGCTCACAATTTCTGCTCTCCATATCCTCAGTTTCCCTGTGCTTAAAATGGGAACCTGTTTTAACCACTGAGAATGTATGCTGTACCACTTGTAATGAAATGGTTGCATTTCTGCTTCCTGACAATCCCACAGTGGCAGATAAGCACGTGAGATGCTGTATTTCTTGAAGAGATGACTAATACTACTGTCACATACTTATAACAAACTCCACAGATGACTGCGTTTATTTTCAGTGATTGTTATCACCAACTTAAAAATTTCTTTTATGCAGTCAAAATGCTGAAATACTTGGTATGACCAGACAATTCCACTGGCTGCTCAGACCTGGTRTTTGCAGAGAATCTTTGATGCAGCTCTGCAGGTTTGTCAAATTAGGAGCATGATGAAGGCAATTTGCTTGGTCTGTTGTGCAGAAAGTATAAATGGAAGGAATGACTTGATTGTGCACAGCATGCCAAATGGTTACATGAAGCATTAGKCTTAACATTAAAAGCAGCAGCACTGTTAGAAACAATTTGCAGGGAAGAAATTGGCAGATGCAGAAATAACTGTGTGGGCTCATTCTGCTTC